AAACAGCGACACAATAGTTCATGGGGAAGCTTATGAAATGGTTAATACATATTTATAACCTAGAAATTTGGAAGCTATATAAACTCGATTCAAGTATTTTTCTAGTTTTCCCGCTATGATTTGGTTTATGGCTTTAATAATAGTCAATGTGGCGCCTATAAAAGATAAGGCTGGCTTAGTTATTTTGATTTATAAAATAAATGTAAGAAGTTACACCTAAACTATAGGATGTAGCACTTAAAAGTAAATTTAAGATTTGAAAAAGTTTGCATTAAAAGCTCATGTATTAAAATGCAAGAATTAATTTGACATTTACGGCTTACATTGTCCGAGTTTAAGGAGGACCCACTGATTTTAGAACTTGGAATTTGAGTGTTTACCTTTTTATTTCTTTATTATGTTAAACTTTTTAGTTATTCAATTTTCTTTGCATTATTATATTACAATAATTAATTATGTACCATAACTATTACTACTGCTCTAACTTCTAAACTAAATCAAGATATGATACTACGATTAACATTAATGTAAGAGTAATAGCTATAATTTTTGGGGAGTGTAATTTCTAATGGTGAATAGCTCAACATGAATAAAAATAGAAAAAAATATAGAAACCCCGAAAGATGGCAAGATGAGCCCTTCAATTCCACGTGTTCACTTAATATGTAGGCTCATATATGTACTTGACTGAGTTAAAATTTTGTGGCTTTTGCTCTTCCACGTATACCCATCATGACATCAGCAGCTTTTGTGTATGTTAAAGTCCTCAAATATGATCATATTTACGAAAAAGTGTTAGGACAAAGACAAACAAAGGAATAAAATCTGTTCCCACAACACAAAATAAATGAGAAAATGAGAAAAAATATTAGGTGAATATGGTGAAGGGTGAATCGCATTCTTTTCTCATTCTCGCGAATTATTTTTGTCAATCCGTCATGTTTCTTTAATTTTTACTACTTATATAGCTGATTATTGCAAAAAATGATTTCAGTTGGGCTAAATTCTGGAAAATATTCTGAAAATAATTGACATAAGCGATTGTACAAGAGTGGGTTAGTAAATCCCAGTAATTCGAATATTCAGAGGTCGTTTGGTAGGGTGTATAAAAATAGTGCGGAATAAGGTGTATTAGTAATGCATGTGTTAGTAATGCAAGCATTAGTTATGCAAATATTTTTTCTTATCTATTGTTTAGTGTGGTGTATTAAAATTATAATGCATTGTATAAATTTTAAGAAAAATAGTTGTTTACAAAAATGCCCTCCATATTCTCTAGCATTAAGGGACTTTAAGAACAATTTTGTCTTTATCCATACTAATGCATGCATTAATAGCCTTGGTATTACTAATGTAATGGTTTTCTATGCATTACTTATACATAAGATAATACCAAGTATGATGTATACCAACACAAGTATTAGTTATACACTTGTTAAAAAAATGTACCAAACAAGGTATTAGTAATGCATAAAGCTAATGCTTGCATTATTTTTTCTAATACCTCCTACCAAACGATCCCTCAGTGTATTAGTGGTTGAATATGGAAGCACGTTTCCCTAGTAATTAATACGTAGAGCATGTTTGTCTTAGCCGACTAAAGCAGCTGAAAAACACTTTTAAATGTTACATCTGATTTTATAAAAAAAAAAAAAAAAGTAGTGATGTATTTAGATAGAAGTGCTGAAATTGATAATAAGAAGTTAAAGTATTTGACAAAATGGGTTTATAAGCATTTTTTCTTTGCTAAAATTACAAAACTACCCTTAAATGTATTTATCAAAAAAAAATATCTTTCCTTGGAGAAAAGATGAATGATGATAGATATAAAAGGGGAGAGTTAGGGTTTTGTATTGAAAAGGATATATAGAGATTACAATAACATAAAAAGTTTGATCAAGCTAAAAGCACTTAAAGTTGAAAAATTACAAATTGAGGATGACTAACTTTTTCTTTTAGATTTTTTATTTTTTTTTTGGTAATTAAAATATTACTAACTACCAAATTTGAAATTATAGACCATAGTTGAAGCTATCACGACCAACTATCCAAAAGTAAATATCTAGCTAGACAAAACCACTATGCCTTTAATCTTAAAGATTTGAAGCACACCTCTTAGGGAGGGTCTCTTCCATCTCTCAGGCAAGTTACAGAAAAACTAGAAAACACCTAATCCATCACTAAAAGGAGCTAAAAATACCATGACTGAACACGTTTCCTAATCCTTGTGGATGCTCTAACATTACATATATATAAGCAATATTTCTAGAAATCCTATCCACATTTGTACCATTATTTTCAAAAATCCTCTGGTTTCTTTCCCTCCAAACAGCATGACTGACTTCTGCATAGACCATTCTAAAGATTTATGCTGATAGTGATTTGCCTTAAGAATTTTTAACAGCCCACTGTAACTGTTGATCTCACGTAACTGCTGAAATTTTTTGTCTCCTCATACATGAAGGACTCTGCTCCATAATGTTGTAGTAAAATCACAATCCACATACAAGTGATCTCTAGTTTCAATTTGGCATTGACAGAGAGTGCATAAAGGATCCAACTAAAGTCTCATCTAACTAGTCTGTCTATGGTAGGTAACCTGCCCTGCAAATGTAACCACATGAACTTTGCTTTGGGTCTTGCTTCATTTTAAACACGAGACATTTCCAAGGTACTCTAGGCTCATCTCCCAGTAGTTGAAGATAGATTTGTCTGATCAAGTTCTTACCCTCTTTCGGTGTTACATGAACCTGCTTCCATGTTTCTTTAGCTTATATAATTTTTCTCACCATCCAAGATGCTTGTTGCGGTACAGATACATTGTCCAAGTCATGCCCTCTTATATAGTATGTATGAATCCATCTCATTCAAAGTTTGTCTTATTTACGAGCCAAGTCCAATAGGTTTTTGTGGTTGCTGCTTTATTCCAGAACAGCAAATTAGTTAGATTTAAGCTCTCAATGGATATAGGTGCACACATCTTAACCCAAGCTACGAGAGCTCTCTTAGTAATTGTGTTAACTCCAGACTATATGTAACTCCTACAGTTAGAATCAATAGTCTTCACTACCTTCACGGGCAACATAAATAACTGGGACCAATACGCCTGGATGCCAAAGAGGACAGTTTGAACTAATTGTACTCTTCTTGGATAACATAGCTTCTTAGCAATCCAAGAAGAAATTCTTGCAATGATCTTTTCAATAAACAGTTGCCACTGCATTAAGGAGAGCTTTTAGTTGACACTAGAATCCCCAAATATTTTGGCTAATTAAAATATATACTTATAAGCACTAAAATTAAAATTGTAAATAAGAGAAAAGTGTTTATAAATCGCTTATCCAAGGACAAATCTTGATTATGAGCATTGAAAAGCCCAATTGACCCTTGTCTTTGATCCATATCCTGAATTGCATTGAAAAGCCCAAATCTTGAACTCCATATCCTGGCCTATTTTAGGACTCAAAATTCAAATTATAATGTTAGCAAGAAGAAATGTAACTGGAATCCCTTTTGACTTAATCACTTTTGGATAGACGTAGCATAGAGTACGGGAGTTACATATGATAACTATATGTATCAAAACTACACAAAACTAAAAGTTATTAGTTAATAAGGAAGTTAGAAAGATACGATTTGGAGAATAATAATCAGGATGTCATTGAAATTCAAACTCGTGATACTACAGTTTAATTTTGTTCCTTGAGAAACGATAAGCATCAATCTTTTAATCGACTAATGATTAGAAAAACTAAAGGTTAAAAGGTATATTGTACCCTCCGAAGGCTGAATAAAATGGAATCGAAAGGATAATACTGAATTTGCATTGTGCAAGCTGTGTGTTATCTTTTGTGGTGAAGAAAAAGAAGAAGGGGGGGGGGGGGGGGGTTGAACTTGACAATGTCGATAAGGAATGCCGCATGGGTAGATCCATGATGTTATGGGAATATGAGTCAAATCATAACATGTATATAATCCAGTTTGCACATGCAATGTTGTCTCTACTCTTCAAACAAATAAATTGACACGACTAAACACTTCCTCCGGACATTGTGCTAACTACAGGACAAACATTTCCTGCATCTCAAAACTTTCACCGCTAGAAATCCGGTAAAAAGTGACCACAAAAAGCGACCAAAGTTGGTCGCTTATAGGCCTAAAAGCGACCAAACATGCCTGGTCACTATATTGTTGGTCCCTTCACTTTAGGGACCAAAGTTCGTCACTAATTAGCGACCAACTTTGATCTCTAAGGTAAAATGACCAAATATTCCGGGTATTGACTATAGCGACCATCTTTGGTCGCTTTATTATTTTAATAATGTAAATTTGGCGACCAAAATTGGTCTCCAAATGTAAAATATATTATTTATTTATTTATTATTATTCATAAAACAGCGACCAACTTTGGTCTCTAATCCAAATATTATATTTTAAAATCTAGAAAATGGAGACCAAGGTTGGTCGCTATTTTATTAATTTTTTTAATTTTTTTTAAAAATAAGCGACCAAAGTTGGTCGCTAATTTCAAGAATTTAATTTTTTTTTAAATATAAGCGACCAAAGTTGGTCGCTATTTTTCCAGATATTATTTTTTTTTAATGGAATAGCGACCAAGGTTGGTCGCTTTTTTAGAAATCTGGATAAAAAGAGACCAACTTTGGTCGCTATTGCCNCCTCCAAGATACAGCACTCCCAGGGTTCAAATAATGAAACATGGCCTATGTCAGATGGACTCGATTATGGTTGTGTATACAATGAGGGTGTGTGCGAGTGTTTAGCAGGGGTACATGCACTGCTTTTTGCTTTATTTTGGTTTATTTTGAATAACCCACATCAAATACCCATACAATGTGGCACGTTTCCTATCATTTTACGAAATGCTTTCCAATCTACGGATAAGATTCTGCACTTTCCTTTAATTATTACACATTCACAGATTACCAAGATGAAAAGAGACGAAGTCACAAGTACGATCAATTTCTTCCAATTCTAGTGGACTACTCTATGATAAGTTTTCCTGACAACAATGCAAGAAAACTAGATTCACCTGCCATAATGTATAAAACAATGTCTCACACAGTAGATTCACAACCACATGATGATACAACAACATTATCTGATCGGCTACATATGCACAACAATATCTTATAGAGTAAAAAGAAAAGCTCATATCCTTAAACTACAAAAGCAAAATTGTACTGAAATATGATATGGATCAACTAGGATATACAGAGAATAATTACCAGAACAAGAATCATCAAAGTCTCTTCTTTTAGCATTTCCATTTCCACTAACACCATTACCCAAAGAATTTTCCAGCAATTCGGACTCCTTGGTATTAAAACAAACTGGACCCTCATCACTTTCCACTTTTCCATTATCTAAAAACTCCTCATTACCAATCCGTGTACCCGAAAACCCGTTTTTCAACAAAGCATCAAGAAAGCTATCAGTTCTTTTTTTATTGGTCTCCATTTTCTCATTTGCTAACGTAACAAGGTACTCTACATATTCAGGAGACACCATTAACTTCTCAGTATCCCCTAACGGCACTTCCAATCTAATGGAACATCGTATAGCAATGATCACTCTTTTCTTGTTAACACTAGTAATACCACTCTCCCTAAACCCACATGAAATAGCTAATGACACCAACAACTGAGCTGACCCTATGTCCTTACACTCCACTGCAATAATCAAAGGCTCAAACCTGAACACAAGGCTATGTGGCTGAGTCAACTCAAAAGACAACTCGTTGACTTTTTGAGTTGACTCGGTTGGAAAAAGGAGTGGTAAAACCAAGTGGGGCTGAATTGGGTCATGAGAAATGAAGACCCATTTGCCTCCTTTAGCTTTTTTCTTGGTGGGGTTGTTGAAGGGGGTGGTGGGTGTTGAGAGAATGGAGATACGGCCAGAACAAGAACTGGTGGTGAAATATGAAGGATGTGAGTTAAGGGTGTTGAGTAAAGGGATAATTGGTGCGTCTATGTTGCCTTTTGGTGATTTGTCTGGTTCTGGTGAATTGATTGAAGCTAAAGTTGCTGCCTTTCTCTTCTCGAACTCCATTGATTTTGACTGTGTTCTTGCTCAGTAGATGAATTAGGGTTTAAGCATTATGGAGGATGAGGGAGACAGTGGGATTTGGGGTTTAGGGCATTGGGTTGATTTTGATTTTCATTTCGGGCTTGAATGAATTCGGGCCGTCGGCCTGGCCCATACAGACGATATGTTGGATCAAGTATTACATGTTTATGTTTGGGTAAAAATTTCAGGAAATGGTAATATATAGGGTAAAATATGTTATGTTAAGTGACCGCACAAGTGAGTGACATGTGGAGCCGAAGGCAAAGAATAGCTAAAATCGAAGGCAATTATTCCATCTGTTACCGGAAAGAATGGTGCTCATAAAGATGAAATAAATGCTGACCATCCGATAGCATTTAATGAAGAATATTCTACAGCATTTAATACACCGCCCGTTATAAAGAATTTGGCATTCATGTCTGTCGTTACACATTCTTCAATGGCTCTCATAATTGACATTAAAGAAGGGCTTGATCCAAGAACCTTGTTCCCTAGGTGCAGTTATAAATAGTGCGCTCTATTACCATTGCAAAGGACACGAACTTTCTGGCAAACTTACACTATAATCCATTCAAAGCTTAATACAATTTTATCTTCTTGCTCCTTGATTTCATTGTTGTTATGTCCAGAGACCCTGCTCCCAGACTACTGTTTCTGTTATTTTATCTCCATCTCAAGGCTAAGTATTGTATATTTATTTAATTCTTCTGTTATTTCAGGATCAAATTAATACACTTTTCCAGAAAATCACGTATAAATTCAACTGTACCGTTTTACGGGTAAACAGTTTGGCACCAACCATAGGGCCTAGGCAATCGTGTAATTAAGTTGGTCCTTGCCCCTTTTACTAACATGTTTTGATTATTTGTTCTTAGCAAAAAATGATAGAGAATGGCAGATAATGGTGTTAACAACACACAAAATCTTTGGGCACAAAGAGACCAGCCTCAGCATGAAGATTCAATTAGTGATGCCAGTCCACGGCAGACGGTACCTGCGACATGTTCAGGAGGCGACTGCCGATGATGCTGGAGAGGAACATGTCGTTGAAGTGGTGAAGGTCCTGCAGGAACAACAAGAGGTCGTCCTAGGCCATCTCACACGACAGGATAAGGTTATGACATAAATAAAGCAGGCATTTTCGAATTAATACACTTGTCTAGAAATCACGTATAAATTCAACTATACCGTTTTACGGGTAAATAATTTGGCGCCCACCATAGGGCCTAGACAATCGGTAATTAAGTTGGTCCTTGCCTCTTTTACTAACATGTTTTTATTATTTGTTCTTAACAAAAAAAATATAGAGAATGGCAGATAACGGTGTTAACAACACACACAATCTTGGGGCCCAAGGAGACCAGCCTCAGCATGAAGATTCAATCAGTGATACCCGCAATTAGGGGAGCGATGCCATGCCAGTCCACGGCAAATGGTACCTGCGACATGTTCGGGAGGCGACTCCCGTTGATGCTGGAGAGGAACATGTCGTTGAAGCGGTGAGGGTCCTGCAGGAACAACAAGAGGTCATCCTACGCCATCTCACACGACAGGATAAGGTTATGACAGAAATAAAGCAGGCGTTATCGGGTGCTTCCAATAATGCGACGGACGAGGTCCAGTTCCTCCCGGTGCTCCCGCAAATCAAATAACACAGAGGGTCGACAACAACACATCGAGGGGCGAGGTCGTCTTCGATGGTGCTAGGGGGAACAAATTTGGTCACAACAACGAGATTGATCCCTTCAAAAGCAAACTCTTGCGGTTTATGAGGGAAGTAAATGCATGCATGGACCAAATTCGGGGTGCACCACCGGTGCTGAAAAAACCAGACTCAAAGAAGTATATTCAACTGTCGTACAAGCTGAGCACGTCACCAGAATTGTTCCCGAAGCGGTATAAAATGCCCGACGTGTCAAAATATGATGGGACTTTGGACCCTTATGAGCATATTACCACCTATACAACGACGGTGAAAGGGAATGATTTAGCTCCCCACGAGATCGAATCAGTTTTGCTAAAGAAATTCGGAGAGACTCTCATAAAGTGAGCCTTGACGTGGTATTCGTTGTTGCCCGAACATTCCATAAATTCCTTTGAGATGCTCGCAGATTCTTTCATTAAGGCCCATGCCGGAGCTAGAAAAGTGCAGGCCCCCAAGGCCGACATATTCAGAATTGCACAAGGAGATTTCGAGTTGCTGCGGGAATTCGTCACCCGATTGCAGAAGGAAAGAATGTTGCTCCCGGTTGTTCCGGATGAATGGGCGGCTGAAGCATTCACAAAAGGGTTTGAATCCGGGAAGTTCTTATGATTCCCGGAAATTGAAGGAAAGCTTAATCAAGTTCCAAGCGACGACTTGGGCGGATGTTCACAATAGGTACGAGTCCAAGATGAGGATTGAGGATGATCAAGTCGGCTTCCTAGAGTCAGTTAAAGGTTGAGAGAAGAATATGAAATCAAAAGATGATTTCGACACAGATAGACGATCTTCGAGGTGCCGGTTTTGCCTTATGAACGGGCTGAAGGACGTGGTAGAGGTTTCCGGATGACAGACAGCTTCGTTACCAATAGAAGAACTTACCGCGGCCGAAACAACAGATCACTATAGGACAAGGAAGCATCAGGTTCTCGAGATCCTTCCCTATCCCAAACTTTCAGAATACAACTTCAACGTTAGTGTAGTACAGTTGGTATCGGCTATGAGGAACGTTAAAGAAGCATGGTTCCCGAAGCCGATGAGGTCTGATCCCAGCCAGAGGGATCCTAATGTGGTGTGAATACCACAGGGCGAACGGCCACCGAATCGGGGACTGCCGACATCTGCGTGAAGAGGTGGCGACACTACTCAAAAATGGCCATCTGAGAGAATTCTTAAGTGACCGGGACAAAAATAAATATGGTCGCAACTGTGTTCAAAGGCTCACATGGAGATTGGCCGCTTTGAGCAGGTTCATTTCCCGGTCATCTGAGATATGCCATCATTTCTTCGTGCTCTCAAGAAGAAGAACAACTTTGAGTGGACCCCGGAATGCCAGCAGGCTTTGAGGGATTTGAAAAGGTACTTGTCAAGCCCTCTGTTACTATCAAAGCTGGAGAAAGGAGAAAAAATATTAATCTACCTAGTAGCTAGATGATTTACATCAATACAACTGGGGTGCTGCTGTTCTTGGTTACGTACAGGCAGATGTGCCGGGCATGCATGGGCACCCAGTGAGACATTGCAGGATTTATGTCGTTGTTGTAGGTGAAAACATAGTCAAATACTCTCTTCAATATAACATACATCATAAAAATATACCTTAAATTTTACGTCCAAATTGTATGTTAGGTTTGGGCCTGGGAGCGGTTCCTGCAGTTTCAGCCACCTCTACCACCCATAGCTCAGGATGCACCACCTCCACCGTTTCTCCTTTTAGCTAGGAGGTGGGTTGAGAGGCGGGGATACGGACGCGAGTACGAGGCTCGACATAATCTCCCCTATTGCAGGGACTTGTTGGATTTTTTGAAGGCCGCTCAGGCTTAAGTTTAATTGGCTTGGATTTATATGTGTTGCATATACTCATGGCTCCTGTTTTCACATAATAGTTCATTCGGAGGCCATACAACGACGAGCTAATAGCTGGTTTTCCCGATTATTACTCGATCGGGCAACTTATCTGGAGCTCTTCCGTCCCGTTGATGTGTCTCGATATTGTCGAGCATCATGCCACCGAGTGAGTCCTTCGCTAGTTTGGTCGACCGCAGCATGTACCTCCACCGCCCGCTTGGCTTAGGACACATTACCAGCGGGATGATTGTTCGAGGGTTGACCAGGCATATGAGGCATGGCTAGAGTTGTAAATCCACACTTGGGACCAGCGACGTGACTTGATTCCGCCACCCCCTCCAACCCATCTTATGGATGGTGAGCATGCGTATATCGGCCGGTACTGCAGCATTACCCAACTTTTCATCGGGAATCCCGTTCATCGCGCTGGCGGTCGGTTCGTTCCATACGCCGGGAGGCATGAGGCGCTAGTATGTTATTTGGTATACTTAGTTATAACGTTAACCTTACCATTTTGTAATTAATATTTTACATGTTGTGTAGGTTATCGGTCTACATCAGTTCCATCAGTTGGGACTATAGATGCAGCAGCATACCAGTGAGGGAGCGGCCACTTTGCACGACTATGGCCGGCAGGTTACAGATTTGGCTGCTCGGACATTACAGCGAGCCTGAGATGATGAGCGCTTAGGACACAAGGCTGATTATATGGCGCCAGGGCAGTACCATCATGGGCCACCAGTGCAGCCTGAATGTGGTCGACGTGGCAGGGGTATCCCACGAGGTAGGGGTGTCCCACGAGGTCGTGCGGGTCGGCGAGGAGGTGGTCCCCAGCAAGGGGGCGTTGAGGCACCTGTTGAGGATGTTGGAGTTGGTCAGCCGGGTGACCACCCTGATCCTAGTGATATCCAGTCATTTAGCCTGGTGCTTACTCCAGGGACTTTACAGGTGATCCCGTCAGTTCCATTGTTGATCGCGGGCACGACCTTTACCTCACATGACTGGGATGCGTACTTTCCTGACCCTCCAGAGGCATCGACGGTTTCTGATGCTCGTCCAGTACGAGATATGGATAGTGGGCGCCGATTGAGTTATGGCTCATCATCGAGGGATGCTGAGGATCTTTCACATGATTTGGTTATTTTGTATTACTATTATTTATATTTGTGTTTATCTCATTGATTAGTCATATAAATGTCTAAAGCCAATTTTTTTTAAGCCATCTTCCTCGCCCGTCACGGACAGGCCTGAGACGGATGATTATATTGAGGAGGCCGCTGAGACCATGGTAAGACATTTTAATTTTCTTTAGCTAACATGTACATTACTAATACATATTTCATATATTAAAATATCGTATTATTCTGTAGGTTACTGTTGGACCAACGACCACTTCTACCGAGCCTGCCAGCCTTACTGACGATCATGATGC